AACACAAAGATCGTGAATACCCCTAGTTACTGTTGAGTTCGTTTAGTGTCTTTATTTTTATTTTAATATGTACAAAAGGAAATTTTTCTCGATCTAACAGGACTTTACAGAGTTAACACAAAGATAGAGAATACTCCTAATATTTTTATAGGTACGTAGGGAAGTAGGTGATTTTATTATTGTGTGAATGAAGTGGCATGTGAAAAGAGAGAGAGAGAGAGAGAGAGAGAGAGAGAGAGAGAGAGAGAGAGAGAATCAGTTTTAAATTAATATCCATTTTATATATGACAGACAGAAAAGAATACATGTTGTAAAATTATTTTTTCGACCTTGGAAAGAAGTGTTGCCCACAAGTATGAACATATTTACTTAATGCAAAATTTGTAGTTGTAAAACAATGTAATAAAACTCGACCATGAAATTAAAGCAGTTATATGCATTATTTGACTTGATATGAAATAAAATAGTTCAGACAAGCGTGTTCTATAGCGAATACCTTATTTATTCTATCCTACTGTTGGAGTATTAATGTAAAAAAGAAGGCTGCCTGTTTTATAGACCATTTTCAGTTGTACGTATAATAATGTATTATGTATGAACGGGCAAACTCTTTGAAAAGGAAGAAACAAGGAGGAATCCGGCAATTGGCGTTTCTGAGAATAAATTTCAACTCTCCCTTCCTGCCTTAAATGAGTAGAAAAGTATTGGGATGGGTTGTTAGGGCTTTTGGCCGAATCAGTCTGTCGTGTTCACCCCGTTTTTACTCATTCCAACAGCCCCCTCGCAACGCTCGTTACAGATGAAAAGAGGCCCCAAGTGGTTACGACGGCTGGCACATCAGTATTCCATCCACAGTGTAAAAATCTAGTTTGGCAGGAATCGTTTCCTGTACGGTTGTGCCTTTCCGGAACCCTGGGACTCCTTTATCGGGAAAGTTGAGCTTTTCTGATTCGACAGAGGAAACATAAATTGCCCTACGTGTCGCTTTGGCCCGCTACCCTTTTCACTTTGTAATTATTCACATAGCCGACAATGTGAATTTGAAATTTTACGACCGTGGTGTGTCACTGTAATGTTTCCTCAGGAAATAACGGTAGAGAAAAATAGACGCAACCGTCCCTCGTTTAAAGGACGAAAAAAGTATTGCCGTTATTTATTTCAAGCCCTTGTACAGAATCCCTTCCACTCTGAATTAACACGAAAAACTGTTTTATCTTAACAATTTGTTTAAAATATTTTAAAATGTGTCTGAGAGTTTTAAACATTTAAAACTGAAATAATATTTTAGACAGGTTGTTTCGTATGTCAGAATATAATGAATTAACTTAATATATATAAATATATAACTATACAATTGTTCAAAATCATTGTAATAATTGTTCGAACAGACCTCCATTTGCTGCCACACAGAAGCCTAGTCTATCATAAAACGATGATCGGATGAAAAAAATACTCTTAAACCTTAATCAAATTAATTTGTGAAGAATTTTTATAAAATTTTTACATTGTGTTTGAATAATGTTTTAATAATATAGGTTTTGTTTATTTTCCTTCCAACCTACTAAAACTAATTTGTAACGAATGGTGCGTCGAAAAGTGACTCGCCTATTTTTTGGTACGAGACTAACAAAATAAAATGTGCCGTGCGTCGAAAAGTGACTCGCCTATTTTTTGGTACGAGACTAACAAAATAAAATGTGCCGAGTGATAATTAGTCGCACCAACATTGATTTTCCTATGGTGCACCGAAAATTGACTTTCTTTCTTTTATTAACGTATTAATCAAAGGAAATAAGCCTCGAGTCAGATGTAAACGCACCCACGTTGATTTTACAATGGTGCGTCAAAAAATGACTCACTCACACATATATACATCATACATACATTCAGGGTGAATTGCTACTCGTGCTACAAACTTCTCCAGTAGATTCTTCACAATAAAATGAACAAAAAAGTTCATATTGTCCATGGTCCGATTCTCAACCATTTCAGAGTAATTTCGCTTTTTATCGATTTTGAAAGATATCACGTCCTGGCGTCGGAAAATCGTGATATCTTTTAATCTAAACATTTCTCTTAAAATC